TGTAAAAGCTTAAAGCCCGGGCGAGGAGACAGGTAATAAGCCCGCCTACGCTCGGGGAGAGGACCCACTTGCTTCTTAAGCATCAAGATGGAAGAAAAAATCTCCAAGTCCAACGGAAAGCTCTCTTCGCAAAATAAGGAGATTGTCTCCACCAAGTTTCGAATGGAATTCGGGTGAAGTTGGCCAACCATCACGCCGAAGTGGTTCAAGACTTCGACAAATAGGGGATGGAAAGGCAATCGCAGCCCCGCGGCGAGCTGCTCCCGGAATATTATGATCTCATCAGGACCATGTTCCCAAGGAATGCTACCCGAAGGTATGAAATAAGCGTACTCCCCAGGCAAGTTATAGTAGGAAATGAGGGATTGGAGCCCCTCGGGCGTCATGGTCGAAGAACCGAACTTGTCTAACATCCGACCCCGACGAGAGGTGGACGCCAAACTACCCGAAGCGCCTCGTCCTACGAGCTCGAACTCTCCCTCGAGCTCTACCTCTGGCTCGCTAGGGCTATCGGGGGGTGCAACTTGGTTCATAGAACCTGCATTAGACCCGCTGAAAGGACTATCTGAGCCATCCAAGCTAGACATCGGGGAGTGAGATGGGATCCAAGAAAGTACACACCCGGACAAAGGCTGTAGACCACAGGAGCTCGGACGAGCGGAAGACCTTGAGCGCGAACTGAAAAAACCTGGACGCGAACTGGATGCGAGCTGAAACTCAAACGCGAGCTCGAGAGATACAGAAGTGACAACTGGGGTCCCCCCCCCCGCTATTTATACTCACAATGACCGAAAGGCAACGGCTTAGATCAAAGCCAATCCGACGGCCTACAGCCGCACTGACCGCACGTTCCCCGAGATCGAGACGTGATTGGCGCACGTCTTTCTGAAACTAACAGAGCACCGGCGCACATCTTTTCGAAACTAACGGAACGCCAACGCACGTCTCCTCAGTAAAAACGGCAGCAGCACGTCTTTTCAAATTTGAAAAAGACGTCCGCTATCACGCCCCCCAAGTAGCGCACTTTTTCGAAATTTCGAAATAAAGCGCGCGTCACCAAAGCTATTAGCGTTTAAGCGGGCCGGCGCGCTTCCCGCCTAATGGACACTTGAAGAAGCCCAAGGAACCCTGACAACGCACCTCGCGCCGGCAGAACCAAGATTCAAAGTGCAGGGCAAATCTACCTGACACCTAGCAAACTCCCGGTGCCAGGGCAAGACCCTTAGCACGAGGAGTGGGGGGCAATTGATGAAGAAAGATTTGGCCCGACCTCGCAAATCACGCCACGTGGCAAAAAACAAGTAGCTCGGCACTTAAAACAGCATGCCGAGGGTACAAAACACCAAAGGGGAGAGACCAGCGGTCCGAACTCCCTAAGAGGAGCCTGAACTCCCTACAAGGGGCCCGAACTCCCTACAAGGGGCCCGAACTCCCTACTTGGAGCTCGAACTCCCTGCGAGGAGCCCGAACTCCCTACAAGGGGCCCGAACTCCCTACTTTGAGCTCGAACTCCCTACGAGGAGCCCGAACTCTCCCTTTGGCCCAGTTACACAAAGTAGAGACCCGAACTGGCTCGTCTCATGACAGTTCGGAATACCCCCCTGTCCGAACTCAAGACCGCCTCGCGCACCGCTCCAGGCACTTCGCCTCCAGAGCATTGAACTGGACAAACCACACCGTACCTGACACCGAAGGAGTCCGTATCCAGGGGCGGCGCACCTGACTGACTTGGGATCCGACGCTTGACGGCCGCACTTCAACGGCCACCGTCACTTGCCACCGCCATCTCCAGTTACAGAGACGGCTTCGACAAAAAGAGCAGTGATGGTTCTGCCCCAGCAGAGGCAATGACTCCCGAACTGGCAGAAGCACAGAAGTAATCATTCCCGACCTGACAGAAGTCTAGGAGTGAGTGTGCGAGGTGGTTATAAAAGGCTCTCCACTCCCCCAAAGAGGAGGTATGCAAACTTTGCGCTATCTGGTTTTATCTTGCCTTTGAAGGATTCTAACTTAAGCTTCGGAGCCTTTACATCGGGCTCTCCCCGGAGCTTCCTCATCCCCTCCGTTTCAGGTTCCCTGCTACTCAGCTCAGAGGCAAGGTCGTTGACAGCTAAGACCGGCCGGATTGCGCATCATCAGTTATAAAATCCCCAAACTCATACCTACCTCAAAATATGTTTTTCAAGAAAAAAGAAAACCCACCCCATTGAGGCAAGTACCTATCATGTAAAGTAGAAATTGCCATTATAAAAGCATGGGCTTTTTTGGGCATCATTTGTAGAGGTTTTTTTTTTATTTTAACAAAAAATTTTCTCAACCAAATGCAGGATCCCAGTTTGCCATGTATTTCCGTGCAGTCTTTCAATTGTTTACAAGCCGGGTAGACCGTGCCATAGTCTTTTTCCATTTGATTCGTAACAGATCTGGCCACCAAAAATCGATGCACTGAAAAGAAATGGAAATATATGCGATAGCCAAACTAGCTTTGGGCTGCTCAGATCTTCATGCAAAAGCTTAATGTCTTTTTACTGTCAAAACTATCAAAAGATCTTCCCAAAAAGACTCGCCAAACTACCCCTAAAGAAGTTGATCTACTTGGCAATAGCCATTCAACAGTTTGACAGGATAGTGGGTCCACGTTGAAAGCTGTAAATATATCATGGATTTGCAAGCTAGCGAGATCTGGGACCCATTTAACCATTTAAGTCATTTCAAAATTCAAATATGGAGAAAAGAATCCGCCACAGCTCTTAAGGTTTTGTTTGGAAACAATGCAAATGGAGTGTAAATCCCGATTTAGGGTAAATTTACACTCTGTTTCACTTTTGCCTGTGTTTGGCAACATTACATTTATGCATTGACAAATGACAGACCAATGCATATTTACATTGATAATAAGATGTAAAAGTACATCAATAAAAAAGAAGTAAATTTGCATTCAAGTGGACTTTTGATAAATAAAAAAAAAAAAAAAACATATGCTTTATTGGAATTCATGTTTTCATCCATTACAGCTAAAAGTCTATTTAGTAAGAAGATAAATTTATCAATGCAAAATTAACCTAATTTTGCAATTCATATGAACCGTTTTACACTCTACATATTTGCATCCACACTTATTTGCATTATTTCCAAATGCAGCCCAAAAATTTTTAGCTCTTTGATGTTATTGGATCTGGCGGCATCTGGGACCCCATAACTTGCCATTTCTCATGCTCATCAACAACATGGACCAACCAGTCACCACCGGATGGAAGGATGGACCCTACCTGGTGGACCAGCTGGCTCAAAGAATCAACAAGCACAAAATAGTATGGCCGTCTGATTTTACAACAATAAAAGTTTCTCTTAAAGAGGAAAAGGCTTTTGTACTCTTGGGTCATGTACATAGTTTCTAGAAGTGTTGTTCACAGGTTCAGGACTTCAGGACAGGTTTGTAAGGCTTTACAAGAAAAACATTTTTTTTTTCCATTTGTCTTTGGTGTATACTTCCTCCTTGTAAAAGTATATCCATGGAGGTTAAAGCCGATGGGTTTAAAATAATGAATTGTTGAAAATTTTTTAAAGTGTGTAAATAAAACACTGATTTAAACCTTATATTGAAAATAACGGATCAGGATTAGAGTTTTAAACCTTGTAATAAAAATAAATATAGACAAATATAAATCGACAATTAAGTTTTATATTGATTCACATTTACACCACAAACAAAACAAAAGCAACTGGCCCATAGTAAGTCAAGTAATGGAAACTTATATATAGGACTTATGGCCCAGGTTGCAATTAGACGACCCAGAAACCCGCAGAACCCTAATATAAAAAGCATCTTCCGAATTCCGATGATGGCCATCGGTTTTAGTACCATCATCGGGGGACCCTGGTTGGATGGATAATCTCTCAGGCACCACAACCAGCACCAACTACACTGTTAAATCTCAGTAGGCCCATCACAATATCACATGGCTTACCTGACAAAACCCAGACCCAACAGCTGGTCTTCAGTCTTCACCCACACCATCACCACATAGCCAACAACTGGTTCCAACTCTTGTAACTTTACATGTCCAATCCCACTGCCCACTACTCCCCTTGACAAGATCAACAAAAAGGCAGCCATTAACTACAGAGGAACTATCAAGTATCACCTTTGATCATCGAACTGGTTTCAGACTGGAGTTCTCCCAATCCGATCTTCTAAAAGCCAATACCATTGAATAAACAAACAGAACCATTCTAGTCAAGCAAAGGAAGTATAGATAGATAAATTAAAAACCCACTCATCATAATTTTCCAAGAGAGTAATAAAGGCTATTACTCGATTACAACTGTAATTTCTGAAAGATCATATAAGAGAGAAACACTGGTTAATTATAGCCTTAGTGAACAAACACTGACTAAAGATAGATTGAGAGAGAGAGAGAGGAAAGGATCTAATGGTGAGGACAAAATGTGACCAAGTAGCTCCCACCACGGCAGGTCTCAATGCTAGTTGGGTCATCATAGGCGTAGGAATAAGCCTTGGGACAAGCAGACTTGAAGATCCTGGAATAAGCAGTTGGCTTGCAGGACTGAGGGTTGCCGTAAGTCCCGGTGCAACAGTATTTGGGCGACTTGAATGCAAAGCAAGCGCTCTTACAAGCCACCACCCGCCGGTTGTCGCGAGATCGGACTTGCAACCCGACCGGGCACATCTCATTCAGATCGCTAATGCAGCCTGCGTAGTTGCACTTTCCGGTGCCCCTAAACGGGGTGATGGAGATGGGCAGGTTGTAGCCGTCGACAAGGCTGACGTCGTAGAAATCTTGTTCCCCGAATGTGATCTCGGCTAGGGTGGCTGGGGGTGTCCCACCGAGGCCATTGCAGTAGAGGTTCCCGCCACAGTCGCCGGTGACACAGCAGCCTCTGCCAGAGGCGTCGAAGTAGCAGTCCTGACGACCCCAGATGCGGCCGGACCAGCCGGCCGGGACTTTGAGGGAGTAGGCTTGGTTGGGGTTGAGCTTAAATCCGCCTCGGGCGATGACGGGCTTGCCTGCACCTGGTTGAATGCCTGGCCATACTGGGTGCGAGCATTTGTTGTACAGTGCAATTGTCGTTGCTGAGACCTCAACTGAACAAACAAAACCAAAAGGTTAGCTAGCTTTCTTAGCTACTGTGTGTGTGTGAGAGAGAGAGAGAGTATAGTGTCTTAAATCTTGAAGAGTTAATAAACAAAATATTAATATACTCAGAAGCCATTATCCAGCTGTAGAAACAGAAATGGATCAAAGGTAGAGAGAATAAAGGCACAGAGAGAGAGAGTACCTGAAATGTGGCTAAAGAAGAGGATGAAGAGTAGAGTAAGAAGAGGTCTCAGCATCACCTCCATGGTTGAGCAGCAGGGATACTGAATGTGTCGCTTTAGTATTAGAGTTTGTACACTTATTTCAGATGGTCTGTTTTATTCGTAAATAAAGGAGAAGTGGGTCTTTGGTTTGGTATTGGCCCTGATGTGGTGTAGTGGTAATTGTAAAAGATTGAAGAAAATAGTGTGGAAAAAGTCAGTCGTGTTTTTACAGAGAATGGGGCTCCCTTGTCTCCCTCTCTCTCTCTCTCTCATCTTTTCTCCATCAGTGGAGATAAAAAAAAGCACAGAGAAGGCAGGGTTGGAATCATTCGATGATGACAAAGTGACTCTAATACCGAGGCTGTCAGTCACAGTGGGGATAAGTGTTTCCATTCAAAAATTAATCAATTCACATGTCATTGAAATCAGACTTCCTTGGATGCTATCTTCCCACTGTTGCAAACCTACACCAAAACCCACAGAAGTTCTTAGGCCCACGACTCAGAAACAGTATGAAGGTTTTCCTTGCTGAACATGCATTGGCAAAGGATACATGCAAACAGCCAAGCATCCATTAAACAATACCAACAATAAACAAGATTACAAAAGAGGTGCTGGGGAAAAAAAAGAGAAAGAAGAAAAGGTTGTTTGTTGTATAGAGAATATGGTGATCAGTACTGTTGTACCCCAAAAAAACGATCAGTACTGTACCGCACTAGCCATGGGGGCCAAGAGTTCATGTTCATGTTAGGGTTTAGAATGTAGAGACTAGAGACTAGAGAGTGAAAAACTGAAAATTGGGAGAAGCGAACAGTTGGGCTATTGAAGATTAAACAAAGGGCTTTGACCCATGAACCTGTGTTGGGTAGGCTCTAATGCTCTAGCTGTGTGCAGGCAGTATAGTAATCGTGTGTTGGAAAATGAAGAAAACAAATCTGAGTGGCCTCCTCTCACACTGCCCGAGCTATCAAACTCCGAATAAACATAAAAGATTGCATTGGCATAATGGCATTGCTGGTCGTCTGAAAAAAAAAACAAAGATTACAGAATCTCAGATATCTATAAACTTTTAGCATTATGGTTAATTAAATATTTAGTGACAGTGGATTACCGCATAGTCTGTACTCTGTACTGTGGAGAATGCTATGGTAAGGATTAAGGAAGATTCTAAAGTCTGGAGTAGGCCACTTAGGTGGAACATTTTCTGGGTTTCTCAAATATCTTTCTCCGTTTAACTGTAGAAGGGCAACTCTTGAAAGTTGAAACTGACTGCTACCCCCTGTTCATTGAAACCTTTTGTGAGGTTAATAGTTTGAATTTTGTTGGGTGTAAGTTTATTTCAGATCAAGAAATTCCGCAGCGTGACGGAATCTGCTCCTCACAAATAGGCGCCTCACAAGCACATCCACCGTGCGTTGGGAACGTGTGAGGAGCAGATCTGGTCTCGCCTGCAGTGCATTATTTGGCTAGTCGGGATTGTCAAAAGGGATCTGGTTGAATCCTCTCCCAAGCATTCTCAGTACTCGATTTAGGGCCTTTGTTGATTTGTTAACAAATGATTTCACTTTTTATCAAAAATAAATAAACTGTACATGATCTTCCTGTTTGAGTTTCTTCAAATATTTTTCAGCAGGAGATGTTCCCAATGAACAGTGAGATGTAAATGTGGGTGTGGGGTGCTTTTGAGGCGCCAATGTGATTTTGTTAGCCTTGAGCTAAAACCGTGAATCATGGTCTTAGATGCATTGATGTGATGCTACCTTGAATCGGACAAAATGCATTAAGGTGGTGCCACAAGGCCTTGACAAAATGCATTAAGGCGGTGCCACAAGGTGATGATTTCACGGTTTTCCCAAACTAAATTAATTGTGAAAGAGAGCGACTTGGGTTTTCATTTTTTCTTTACTGTTTAGGTGGAAATACAAGAAAGGAGTTCATCTGTGGCTCCTCCTCTCCTTTTCTCACATAAGAATATTTATTGTTTAAATAAAATCATTAAAAATATAACAAGGTAAAATTAAAACCCTTATGCTATGTTTGGTTTTAAGGAAAAAGTAAGGAAAAAAGAAAAGTAAGGAAAACCTTCACAGATCTTATATAAGTTTTCCTACCTTTTCCTTCAAACCAAATTACATGTTCCCTTTACAGATCTTGTATAGGTTTTCCTACCTTTTCCTTCAAACCAAATTACATAGCCTTTGGGTTTTATTGTCTCTCACAAAATCTATATTTACTCTCTCTCTCTCTCCTTGATAGTCAATGTTTGTAACATCTCCCTCCCCATTAAATGCCTGTTTTCCTTTTAAATCCTTTTTGGCTCTCCGTAAGAAAGTTGGGGTGTAAATTATATGAATTGATTAGGTTAGGTTAAGGACCAAGAACCCAAATTTGTCTACTATTACATGTGGTGAAGCAATTTTATTTTTATATAAAAATCTAAAGAATTATCAGGTTTTTCTTTCTTTTTTTATTAATTTAATGTAGATTTGTTTCATCCATTGTTTTGGTTGAACAGGGTCAAAGATAGTGTCCAACTCCTATGTATAAGTCAAATGTGCATGCATGCACGAATTCTTCGGTATTTAGCAATTCTCCCCGTTAGCAATATTTCAAGCCTTCCCCCACCAAGTAGGGGGGAGCCTCTTGGTTGCATGGTTGCAATATGTGCAATCAGTCTGTTCACATCAGCCTATACTTCAACCTTTTATTATTATCTTCTATCTAAAATTTTCAGCATTTTAATGAAGAATTAGTGTATCTGCTAATGGGGATATGTTGTAACAATTCTACCACAAAGAATCATTTATTTGAAGAATAGGCTCCAAAATGGACCCACATGCATGATCTCAAAAGTATCTTGCTATATGGTTAAAATAGTGTTTTCTTTAAGGAAAATTTCATATCAAATATTTAATTAAATTTTTAATTACTAATATTACTAATGAATAAGAGATGAACTGCAGGCTAATGTAAACAGTAAACTGAAGATTGAACAGATGCCCAGTCTAGAGGGTTCTAAGGATCCGTTTGGGAGGGCTTTAGCATTGATAGAGCTGTGTTGACAGAACTGCTTCTAAGAAGTTACCAAAAATAGTTTCACCGGAAAGTCATTTCCTCAGCTCATGGAAGCTTATTTTTGGCTTTTCAGGTTTTTCACCAAACAAGGCTTCATGGCTTTTTATGTGAAGTCGTTCCCTCTACATGGAAGATTTATTAGGATGTCATAAAGCAAATAAATAAATAAATAAAAGGGAATAAAACCCAGTTTCATTTAGAGAGGGTCTCCAAGGTTCATCTAGAGGTCACTGAGACTCTGACCCACGTTTAAACAGGTTTTAAGTTTAAAATGCTGTCATTATACAACTTTCAGTGCCTATTTGAGCAAATTATCAAATAGCACCAGCCACCAAGTAAAACTCTCATTACTATATTTCCAATCCTAAGGTAGATAGAGAGGAAACAACCATTACAAGTGTTGAATAAAACTCTCATTACTATATGATTGTACAAGTTTACATGGTCTCAAGATTTGGCCAATGGATAAACGGTTATTTATCCCTGAGTTTGATTCGGCAGATGGAGGGACAGCCCAACATTGAGGAATTATTGGCTCCTATCTGGTCGGAGGAATTGTGCAATCACATTTTAGTGTAAGGATTTAGGGTTTAGAATTTAAGTTTCTAAGGTTTATAATTTAAAGTTTAGGGTTCAGGGTTTAAGATTTAGATTTAAATATAAACACTTTTGTTCAGCAGGCTAAGAATCCCAGACCCCAACATTGACAACAACTCTTATTCCTGTTCCCATCACCTTTTCATTTGGTAAGTGCGGCGTTTTGCACTTTTATTCCAACATTCCATTTTGCAAAGTGGCAAGTGAAGTAGAGATTTTCAATTCATCTTACATATTTACCTAACAAAAGAAATTTCAGGAGATTAGCTAAAATGGTGGGCTGAGAGATCAGAGATGTTCATGCGGACAAGAAAAATAATGCCTAATCCAACAATGCTTTCTGGAAATATGGTTCTTATTTAAAAAGCTGATACATACCAATGTTTTAAAAACCGACCCAGAACCGAAACCGTTCTAGCCATTGAGTTGACCATCCGGCTTGACTGGATGGCCTGTTCTGACAAAAAATTAAAAAAAAATAATTAAAATAAAAAATTACTAAAAACCATTAAATGAGTCGAATCAATGAATCATTAACCAATTCAACAGTTTTTTTATCAGAGACTGGGTTTGGGGTAAAACGGAACCAATTGTCTGGATGATTCCCAGGCCAAACGGTCAAACCATCCAGGCCAACAGCGGTTCGAAAACATTGATACAAACTATAATATAATCTGTATTCCAGTTCTTTTATCATTTCCCAACATTTACAAAGCGCATCCCAATAGACTGATTTGATTATATTGATACTTTTTGTATTTACTTAAAATCCTCTAACATATCAATGGGTGCCCTAATTATATTTCATCACAATATCTATTTGTATCCAAAGCTTATCCTCGTATATTTATTAAAATTGCCTCTTGGATACTCTATGTTTTCAATACTTGTGCCTATACATACAAGTATAGCTAGACAGGCAAACCCATAGAATAAAGATTAAAGGTTTTGATTGGGTGAAAAGTGTTAAAACATTATTATTCAGATCCACTGTTCTTTATACTCATCCAGACAAATACAATCAACCAAAGAATGCATGCAAATAAATTATACACGTACATGCAAACACGCTTTCCATCTCTGTTGCATGCAATTAAAAGTTGAACCAGCACAGCAAGTCAGCAACAGCTCTCTTCTAGAAAAACTCCTCACATGAAAACATTCTCTCTAATCTTTACTTCTATGTTCAATTTAGGCAATGTTGGTTTTGATAGAAAACAAGACAGAAAACAGAAACTTGAAAGGAAAGTTCTTACAAATTTTGTGAAATTCCTTGAAAACTTTCCCTCAACTTTCAGTTTCTCTTATTTCCAAATTTCTATCAAACAAAACATATAGCCTAAGTTTAAAATCATGGCAGTATATAAGTCGGAATTGAAAGAAGCATGATTGTTCTATAAAAGATCTTGAATGTAAGGCTACAGGCGCTTACATACTGCAACAAATTGGATAAAACCCCATCAAACAAAAATGAAAACAATAACCACATGAAAAATAAATGATAAATACAAGAGAAATGAAATGTCAACTAAGAATGATGGCCCAAACAAACAAATCAATCCCCTGACTCAGATACATGACGATGTACACAAAGTTCAACCATTTCTAGTATCATAATCACAGATGTGTGGCTTAAATCAAGTAATATACACACGAAGGCAAAATTTGATGCATACAAATGCAAGTAGTGTAGCAGCATTGTTAGATACAGTAGCTGCAGAAGAAATATGAGTTCATTGTTCAGTTAGTGCCGGGAAAACTGCACTGAAAGACTTCATTCTTTTCTGCTTTATCCTCTCTTCCAGTAAACCCAAACTTTAAGCTCCATCCCGGAAAAAAGAATGAATATATGAGAGCAATGTGCTCTGCAATATCCCAATCTTGAAAACTTGATAGCGCTGCCTCTTGCCGAAGGGAAGAATAAAAGAATTACACCAATGTAAAGAATAAATGTCAATGACAAGATCTGCACGCCACAGTACTGGAACAAAAGAATCCGTGACCTTTTTCAAGAAACTCAAGGGACTGATGAGAATCTCAGTTCTTCCAACTTGTTCACTCGGCACATACAATCTGGGCATGGAAAGGTGTATATAGAGTCATTCGGTCTTTTGAGCTCAATACCTTTGGCATCACTATGAGATCGCATGTTCAGCACATGGCGCTTGAAGGTTTTCCATCTGCAACAATATCCAGCAGCACCATTTAGATGCTACACTAATCAATTTATAAAACAAGCTGCATACTCCACAACAAAAACAATCAGCAAATCATTTCTACTGCATCAATCTCAAAATTTCAATTCCTTATCATAATTGAGTCCAGCCAATGTTGATAACTTGGTATGGTTGTGCAATGTACGTCAATCCTGAACTGGCTAGAGAATAGAGTAACCTGGTTTGTGATTCAGTTCTGGATGTAATTTGGAGTATGCTAATGTGCTTCAACAAATCAGAAAGGCACTATAAATGGTTTTTTTATCAGTAACAAAAAACTTTATTAATGATGTGAAGTTTTGTGAAACTTTAGTTACAATAGGGAGAGGTAAAATGTCTTAACTCCCCACCAACAGGATACAATGGAAGAAAGTTAAAAATTAGCCCAAAACAGAGACTCCCTATTCACCCCTTGCTTGGCCAGCCCATCTGCAAATGAGTTAGCAGTCCTCTTCACCCATCTGTATTGCATTTCAATGTCCTTACACAGCCAATTGAATTTTTTTCTTTTCATTGTTATAGCTCCACAAACCACTGTCTTCTTCCTTTAGCCAACTAATCACCACCTTCGAGTCACCTTCCAGGACCAAACGTCTGATATTCAGTTCTCTTGCTCTTTGGATTCCTTCTAGAGATGCAAGGATCTCAGCCCTAAGAGTCTCCTTCTCCAATTGGGCCTGAGAACATAGCAGTAATAATAATCCCTTCCAAATTCCTGAATACTCCCCCAATCCTAGAAGACCCTGGATTCCTTAAACTACTGCCATCAAAATTCAGTTTTATAAATCCAGAGGGAGGAGGGGACCAAGAGGGGCTAAGAGTCCTCTTACATTGGGCAGAGGTAGCTATCTCTTTCCAATTTCTTAACAAGTCAGCCACAGAAAAATCTAAAAACAGCTCCATAGATTCAGCCAGTAGGCAACCCTTAAAAGTATTAGGTCTAATAGATTTTCTAGGGTTCTTTCCTTGTCTGAAAAAATTTGTGAAAAAAATCATGAGTTTCTTTCTCCACATAAGTTTCCCTCTCTTCTTAGGCCATCGGAAAAACGGAGAGAACAGACTTTGGACGCTCTCGGGGGGATTCCAAATACACCCAAAGAGGGAGAAAGCCTACTCCCATACAGTTTTAGCAACCGTATAAGTAACCATAAGGTGGTAATCAGTTTCCCCATCAGCTTTACAGAGAGTACACCTATTAGGAAGTAAACAAGAATTGGGTCCTTCAGAGGTAAGTCCCCAATCCAAAGTTGTTCCCAAAATTTTATTCGATTACCAGAGTTAAGACCATACCTAATCCAAGGGGAGAAAACTAGAAGCAGATCATGAATGACTTTCCAAGGAGAAGCAGTTGTAGCCCTTGCCATAATTCCAGGAGAGTTAAGACCATACCTAATCCAAGGGGAGAAAACTAGAAGCAGATCATGAATGACTTTCCAAGGAGAAGCAGTTGTAGCCCTTGCCATAATTCCAGGATCCCAACCGTTGTCTTCCAACCCATGTATGCTAGGCACAATCTTTTTCCACAATTTGTCTCTTTCCAACGGAAACCTCCACAACCATTTACCCAACAAAGACATTCATTTTCTTGATGTTCCCAATCCCAAGGCCTCCTAGCTTTTTACATCTAGTTACCACCTCCCAACTCACCCTATGATCCCTCTTCTCCTCTCCTGGCTCCCACAGAAAATCCCTCATTAATTTTTCCAAAAAGTTGGAAACCTTTGTGGGAATCTTAAACACTAACAGAAAGTAAATAGGTAAGTTAGACAGGGTAGACCTAATCAAAGTGACTCTCCCCCCTAAGGAAAGATAATTTTTCCTCCAGGAAGCAAGCCTTTTCTCAAATCTCTCCATTACCGGGTTCCAGAAGCTTTCATTCTTAGGAATATCACCTAAAGGGAGGCCCAAGTAAATCAAAGGCCAGTCCAAGATTGCACAACCTAACACACCTGCATATTCACTTAATTCCCTCTCCTCCAAATTCACTCCCACCATACAACTCTTATCAAAGTTCACCTTGAGGTTAAACATCTGCTCAAAGAGTTGTATTGCCAATTTTAAATTCCTGATCCAATTTATGCCCCTACCTTCACAGAAGAGGATTGTGTCATCTGCAAACTGCAGATGTGTCAATGGTACCTCCTCCCTTCCTACTCGCCACCCTTTTATTAATCTCCCAAGGACATCGGCAATCAGAGTGAATAGGAAGGGGGAAAGTGGGTCTCCTTGTCTTATACCTCTCAAGGAGGGAAAGAAGTCAATTACAGTTCCATTCACCAAGATAGAATAGTGACAACTCCTAACACAGCCCCAAATCCATTTACACCACTTGTCTCCAAAGCCAAAGCTTCTCAACACCTCCAATAAGAAAGACCAATCAACTAGGTCATAAGCCTTCTCCAAGGCCAATTTGCAGACCACTCCCTTCTTGGATTTCCTAAAGCTCTCCAAACTCTCATTTGCAATCAGGATTTGAATGGTGATTTGTCTTCCCTGCACAAAAGCTCCTTGGTTGGGTGCAATAATGGTGGGAAGGACCTCCTTTATCCTTAGGGACAACACTTTTGCAATTATTTTATACAAACTATTCACCAAACTGATAGGTCTAAAATCCCTTGGTTGTGATGCCTCTTTCTTCTTTGGGACCAAAGTAATGAAAGTGGAGTTCAAACTCGGATTAATTATTCCCCTTCTGTGAAACTCCTCAAAGACTGACCCAAGATCCTTCTCCACAATATCCCAACAATCCTGATAAAATACCATTGTGAAATCATCTGGACCTAGAGCTTTTGTCCTATCCATTGAGAAGACAACTTCCTTTATCTCCTCCAAATCAAAACTCTTTTCTAGCCACTCTCTGTTCTCTGCACTTAGAGTCAGCCACTCCAAACCCTCTCATTTAAAGGCCTTCTAAAAATATATTTGAAATGACTTACAAAGGCATCTGCTATTTCTGTCGAGTGGGACATGAATGCTCCTTCTAATTCCAATTTTGATATGAAATTCTTTTTCTTCCTACCATTTGTCATTGAATGGAAAAATCTAGTGTTTCTATCTCCCTCCTTTAACCACTTACACCTGGATTTCTGTCTCCAATTTATTTCCTCCTTAAGCAATATATCCTCCATCTGCCTCCTCAGTTCCCATATCATCTCCCTGTCTTCCTCTCCAAAGGATCCCCTTTCTTCCTTCATCCAATTCCTCAATCTACTCCAGCAAGACTTGTTTTCTTTCCTCTACTCTTCCAAACTCCAGCTTGTTCCACTCCTTTATTTGGGATTTTAGGAATTGAAGTTTCTTGTGGAACCCCATTCCCTCCCACTCTACTGTCGGATTAAATTGCTCCCACCACTCTCTAATTTTCTCAATGAAACCTGGATGGATCAACCACATGTTTTCAAACCTGAAAGGGGTAGGTCCATCACCTCTAATTGTTGCTCTCTTCCCAGCACTACCCAACCCCCTTACATTCCAACTTAGGATTCTCATTTTAACTTTTGAAACTCAGCCCTAGCACCACCAAAATCTATTTAAACCCTTTCCTTCTATCCCCTCTCACCCCAAACTTCATGTCCCCCTCAATATCTATTTTTAGTCTCTCAACCTCACTCAATTTTCTTTTCTTAATCTTACTATCCTCTTTTTTTTGTAGATAGGCATTTAAATCATTTGGATTCTTCAGTTTACACCCTAGCTTTCCCATAAATTCTGCTGCTGACTCTTCCCTACTAGTTTCCTCTTTTTCTATTGTTCCACTCTTCCCGTTCCTAAACATCTTCTCATTCCTTTCCTCATTTCCTCCACCAATAGCCCTTTCTGCCCCCTTTGTGACCTCCCTCTACAGTTCATTCCTCTTCACTTCACCCATTAAGCTCTCAATGATTCCCCAAATCTTTTTATCCCTGCATGTTTTACCCATCAATTTCTCCCCTTCCTTCTCCCCTTGTAGCCTCACTGTGGCTCTCTGTCCATGGGCCTCCAACTCTTGGTTGAGAAGGGAATCTAGAACAAGGGACACGGAACACTCATCAGTGGCAAAAACTAAATTGACAGAGTTGACAGAGTTACCTGAGCTCGACTGAGGGTTGTGAGAAATGGGCAAATGAGGATAATTGGTTGTCGCTCCCTATTTTGAGCAATTGGAGCTTTCTGTCTCCTCGGTTTTGAGGAAATTATTCCCTGTCAATTGGTCTACACAAAGACCTTCCTTTACCCAATTGTTTACCTCTCTGTGATGTACCCTTGTTCAGTTCTGGGTTATCCTGAGCTATCTCCTTCTCAGCTTATCACAAGGTACTAGAACTTGGGAAAGGCTCGTCCAGTTTTGGGCTTTGGACTGCTCTGTTAAAGGTTTTTGTTTCATTCACCCAAACCTCCACGCTCTCCCTTTGTTCTCCCATCGTATCCCCAAGAAACAGGTGTTCCAGATTTAAGATCTCCCTATTTTGATCTTCGTGAAATCCTTCATCTTCTGAACTACCTAAACTCGCACTCTCTTCTGAGTTCTCGTCAAAATCATTCTCCAAACTGCAACTTATCCACCCTTGGTCTTCCTCTTCCCTTTCTTCTATTTTGTTTCTCATGTAGCGTGGGTTTGGGAGATCAACAACATGATAAGTCTAATCATCACCATCCGGTCGATAGACCTAGCTCAGAGATCGATTTCCCCCTTCTATTCGCCTCTTCTGTAACTTGTAACTGTCATTACACGCGCTACAAATTTATTCAGTCATTTCACGCGCTACAAGAATGAAATAACTGGTAACTGTCATTACAGGTTTTAAGGTTCTAAATATGCAGAGCTAGCTCAGATTTTTCTTGATTTCAGCCTTTCTGAGCTGAGCCAGAGTTTTCACCAGGACTCATGAGCCCTAGTTTTTGAAACCAAACTGGTACCACCAGTTTTTGCAATTCCCAGAACTGATACCACCGGTTAACTAATTGACCAGTTTTGATTTTTGACTGGTTTGGTTAGGGTTTTTTATATTTATAATATATTTTACATAGATACTTATAAATATATAACATATAGATAGTATATGGGAGATACTAAAAATATATAATATACATATTTATATATATATACACTAGTTGGTTCGGTTAACACCTCAGTCTGAATCTGCCCGGTAACTTGAAAGCCTATGCACTGGATTCAAATGAGCCAAACCAAGCCCAGATAAACTTTTGACAAGCCAAGCCTGAGCTTAGAACTTTGACCCTGAGACAAACTAAGATCAGTTCAATTAATTTACATCTAACTTTGACGCCGAATATTTTTCACATGGTTAGAATTCTGATTTATCTTTCTAAAATAGATCAATCCCTAAACAAATAAATACAAATGTTGTTAGTGTAGGAATTTCCATGCTTAGTTGCTGACCACTCTAAACAAGAAAGACCAAAAAAGATTCCACCACCATCAAAGTATAACTTCACTGGTTAATACAAGTCCATGATAAAAAAGGGAAAAAGAAAACCTGAAAACTGCAATATATCAGCTACTTAAATACCATTCTAACTGAAGCATTGCATGCATAACCAGAACCTTCATTATTTCATTCTTATAAGTCAAATTTCTTTGGTTTATAACCAAGGGTAGTAATATGCACACCAGCTGGCACACATTTTTCCCAGATTCAGCTTGAAATAACCAGCTATTTAACAAGTGCATCGTGTTCTATTTAGGCACCCACTTATGCAAACCAAGAAAAAACCCAACTTTTTTTATAATAAAAAAATTATTAAACATGAAAAAAAAAAACTCACAAAAGAGAGGTAACAAGCAGTCACCAACAAGACTCACCACCAAACATCCCCCTCCACCCGGACCCCACCACACCAAACAAAACAGACAAAACACAAAAGCGAGAGACATAATGCTAGCCTCCACTAAACTTCCACCTTGAGCACATCGGCACTCCCTTTGTCTACATTCCAAAACTCTCATTCCCCCACAATGGCTTTCTTCAAGCTCTCCTCCCTCTCAAATTCTACAATGGCTCTTCTAGCAAACGCCTCTCCACCCAAAAAAACAAGTCTTTTTTCCAATTTCAATATTTTAATCAACAATTTTCTCGATATCTAATCCTCCTCCATTTTTTCTTCTGAGATCATACATGTTCTCTCCAAATTCGCTTCTAATTCTTCCCCCATAATTTTAATTTTCCGTTGATCACTAGCCATCTGCAAATCCAAAGTCAGAGGACCAAATGGAGCTCCCCCACCAGGATCAACCAACTCTGATGATTTTGTCTTCACACTCTTCAAACAGAGCTTCCCCAATAATTTTAATTTTATCTTGTAAACTTCCTTAAAATTTTTTGTGGGGCCAGCTCCAACCTGGTTGATCCACCCTCCGCAAGACAATTAGCTAACCTGGAGACCAACTTGCAAGACCAATTTCCATCATTATATGCCCTCTCTGACTTGAAAAATGAGCCAATTTCATCCTCTCTTGTTCCATCATTTTCAAATTCTGGGTTTGGGTGGAATTTGGGGTTGAGAAGGGAAGTTAGAGACACAGACCTCAACAGCATCTTGACTCTCTTTGGCCTTCTTGAAAATATTTTCTTGTACCCCACAAAGGAAGACACTAGAATTTGGACCCCCACCCCCTCGGGCTCTTTCTCTTGTGCCTCTTTCTTTGAAGTTTTAACCCAGCCATCCAGTCCCATAGGCCCTCCTTTCCCGTCAAAGAGATTTGTGTGAGCCAATTCCTCCTAGGGTAGGGAGTTTTTGTTGGGAAACTTTTCTGGAAAGAATCAACACTAGTGATCTGCTTCAAAAAAAAGACCCAGGACACGCTTATCCCCTCACTGGTGTGTTCTCTGTAAAGCTGACGGGGAGACTGGTTTCCACCTATTGGTTTCATACCAGTTTGCAAGAACTAATTGGGCATTTTCCCTTTTGGGGCGCAGCAGGAGTCCTCCACTGAACTTGCAGAGCCTATTCTCTTCTTCCTTCTTCAGGTGGAAGCTGAAAAGGGGTAGGACAATGTGGAGATGTCTAAGGGCTGTTGTATGTTGGTCATTGTGGGAAGAAAGGAACTCAAGGATTTTCTCTGAAAAAGAGAGAAGGGCTGAAAACCTGATAGATTTGATTCATTTGAGGATGGTACAGTGGCTGAAATCTTCAAAGATGTTCGCAAAATTTATAGTGGATGATCTGCTGAGAAAGTGGGGAGAGATTGCTAAGTGTGCCTAGGTCAAAACAGGCCTGAGAAAGTGGGGAGAGATTGCTGATGAGTTAGCCAAGCAAGGGGTGGCTAGGGAATCTATGTTTTGGGCTCAGTTGTAACTTTAAATTTTTCTTTATGGGGAGCTCTAGCCAAAGCACGGGGAGCTAAGAAAGTTTACCTCCCTGTCTTTGTACCATTTTTTCTGTTTGATTAATGAAATTGTTGTTACTGATAAAAAAAACAATGAATTACAAATGTGAAGTCACCACCGACATATATTCATAATGGAGACACCCAATGGAATATTCATATCTAACAAGTAAAATTTATAACCATACTGGGAGGACCTATAAAAAACAACCATACAGGAGAGGTATTAATGGCGTACCCAGGGTCTATAGGAGATGAGGAATTCTATTCAAGGAATACTTCTTTTACTTCAAGTAAAAATACTCAGTTCCCCATAGGCTAATGTAATTTGTAAGTGGAAGGCAATTTCCAGGGGGTGATTGAGTGGATGAGAAATGGAGGATACGGTATGTGGTCATATTGTCATTCACTTGGCGAGGAAAGATCTCTAGCCATAGGATGAATACCTAGTTCAGATGGGTTTATAAGATCAGAAAGTGAGCTAGCGGATTCCATCAGGACAGGGGTATTAACAATCTTCCCTCACCAGGTAGACCATTTGGAATTTGTTGGTATGGGTGTCAATGACCACTGACTAAGATTTTCTCCCTTAAAGAAGTATATTACACTGTATGTACTTGTTACTATAAAAACCCACAAGAATCATTAACCAGTTAATACCAAAAGAATATATAGCAAGTAACATAAGATGTTAACATGCATAGACTAACCAATAGTCTCCCAAATGAACTTCTAATACTTCTTTTTAAGGCCAAAATTCCTAGTAATAGTGTAATACACTGGTCTGGTCTATTGCCGCATAAATGTAGCCCAGAGCCGGCCTCTTGTCATCATGATGGTAAGCACTCATCAGGAATACCCTAACTAAAAGAACTGAACATTTCAAGCAATACTTGATTGATGGACAAAAATAACATCTGTCACAATAATGTCATGCGCTTAAACCCCCTTATGAATGTCCACGCATGGATAGACAACCATACTGAACTTCAAGGCACTAGAAAGACATATCAAAGAAATGTCAATCAAGAATTGGGAAAACCATATCTGTGATCTGTCAGATGGTTCAATACAGTGCATATACAATAAAAAGGCATTTAGTGCAATGAGCATGTACCCAATATTTGGATTATCAAACAGTAATGCTAACTTTCGCTTGTCAGGCCTGATTGTCTTGGAGTGCCCACCATACAAGTATCTTCTGTGGCCCATTAGAAAGTGAGGAAAATTTCCACCTTGAGTTGTCACGAATACTTCACTATGAAGACAAACAGTGTAATCTATAGCAGCCATCCTGGAAGAGAAGTTCTACAGGCAGCAGCAACACAAGTTAAAGCAATGACATTGGAAAAGGCCACAAAGGCATTTACATGCCATAAACAGAAGCCATTAAATTTGTAAAACAATAAAATCATATCAACACCTTAAATGGAGCAAGTTCCTCCATAGATGCTAGCGTGTCTTTTGTTTGTAAAAGGGGAAACATTTCAAGAAGAGGAGCCATGGTTTTCTCAGCCTTGTAGATCTTTCCTGATGCCAAATAAATGGATGTGCTATTATCAAAACCCATGCCCCTAAGCATCAAACCAACCTGATGGCACATTCAAATTAAAAGCAAGTCAACTATTAATAAGTAAATGAGGTGTAGATTGATGTAAACAATAAGTTACAACAAAGTTACAACACCTTAATGTTCATCTATTAATTTATTATTTGCTAGGCAAGATGGCTTATCAAACTCATAACCACTTTGTTAACATGCAAATCTTCAATAGTCTATATCCTATACCACCCTGTATAAGTAAATAAATAAATAAATAAAATACAAGAGTGACAAGTGAGCAAAAACCTAAACTATGAGAAGCGTTCCAGTAACCATATAACTCTAAATCATTATTCAGTGAAGGGTAACATTTTTCAGTTATGATGTATAGAAATTTCAAATGCTACTATTATGAAATCTTCAATGCAGCAACAGTATGAATAGGCAACAGTTGATTGGATAGATCTCCAGAAACATTACATTAGATTATTCATATGCATTAGTTGCCTAAACTAATAAATTTCAAGTGTATTAGCAATAAGCCTGTACCATGTAGATTAATAATGGGATACATAGAAATATAGATACTTCAAAATGGGTGTCATACCCATGTTGGTGACATAATGGAAAGTTTCACCAACACAAAACTTGAAGGCACTCTTCTCTTTGTCGCATCTGTTGGGTATCTAATATGTAATACATTTAAAACTTGATACAATTCTCATTTTGCAGGGGCAGTTTTTTATAGATAAATGAAATTTTTATTAAAATGAATCAAAGAATGAAAATACAAGATGCCCAGAGTTCCTCTTACAAGTAGGTCATTCCTACTCTATATTCACTTCCGTCATTCTACATGTAAAGGAACACCCCCCCTCCCACAAAAAATAAGAAGATACTGTTACATGGTTGATTGGTCACAAGTTTTTACAGAGATGATGTCTTACCAGTATCATAGTCAACCTACATATTAACTCTTTGATTGGCAAGAGTATTGGCCAAGCAATTTGCAGATCTGTTAATCAAATCAAAGATTCAATTTTTTATCAATATTCTCCCTTGTTTGATACTTAATTTCCTTCATGATATGCCTCCACCAGAGCCCTTCTTTTTGGCCTTTTAACCAACCCACCACCTTAGCGTCTCCTTCCACTTGCAAGTTGATGTGGTTCAGAGATTTAGCCATTCTCAAGCCTTGCAATGCTGCCATGGGTTCAACCCTTGTTGAATTTCCAGACCCTATTGGCCCCAAGTATATTGCTAATATAATCTCATTTCCATTTCTGAAAACAACCCCAATACCTGAGGGCCCAAGGTTGGCCAAGCTGCAACCATCAAAATATAGACTAATGCAATTGGGTCTACAAGGCTTACAAGACAATGACATATTTATTCTAACAATTGGGTCAACATTTCTTAATTTGAAGTGGTTTTGGTATCACACTTATCCAAAAATGGAGAAAACTTGGAAAAATATAAAAACCACAAGGAAGTTAAAAATAAAGTGATTTTAAATTAGGGCATATGATGAGTTATATCATAAATTAGGCACTAAAAAGGGAGAAAAAGGAATTTTTAAACTAGCAAACATGAGAGAAAGGAAAGACAGATTTAAACCATATTAGGCACATTAAAGAGGAAGATCAAAGAGTCTTGGTAAAGATGAAGAAATCAAGGGAAGATGAAAAAATATTTTGAAAAATTATTATGTGTAATGGAGATCCTCACTCTATTCTGCAAGAAGGCTGCAGATTCAGGTGAGTGGGAAGGTTTTGCAATTGTGCCAGGGGGAGAGAAGGTGAATATTCTTCAATTTGCAAATGATACGTTGTGCTTTGTGGATGCCTCTCCTTCTCAGGTGGAGTTAATCCTTTGGATCTTGTCTTGGTTTGAAGTGACAACAGTGTTAGACAATGTATGCCCTTAGCCCCAATCAGATTGATGTACATTTTGACATTTATTGTAAATGAATAAAGTACATAATTGATTCATGTTATATATGGTGTGTTTCTGTGTAATGAATAAAGTACATAATTGATTCATGTTATATATGGTGTGTTTCTGTGTAATACCCTTAAACTGGACACTTATAAGACTCGTGTTAGTTTAGAATCTTCACAGCCGTTGGATAGACCTAGGGAGGTTTATCCTGCCAAGGCTGACACTAATGTGCTGCCAAGTCAGTTGGGGTGGCTTGTCTCAGTTGCCCAGGTGAGACCCGAAGCACATGTAGTGTGGGGGTTTGCTTGAAACTCTAAACCGGATCATTTTCCAGTTATGCCCTAGACCTTGGAGACAAATGGGAAAAACTGGAAAGTTACACCAGTAGAAATCTGTTGAATTAAAAAAATATGAAAGAAAGTAGTTTCTTGAAGAGAGAAGGAAGAGAGAAGAAGAAGAGAAGAAGAGAACTTGAAAAGAAAAGAGAGCAATAATCTGGTCACCCCCTTCACTTATTATTTATAATAAAATAATATAACAGTACAAAGACAATTATGCCCTTATAGGGCGGCAAAACATAAAACAGCATATATAACACTTAGAAACATAATAAAAAATTGGACTCATATAACTACTGGGGTCCCCACCTCCTATCTAACAACTAACATAAAACATCCACTCAGAAAAACAGCATAAAACTAATTAATCTTCAACAACACCTACCCCCTAGACTCGACTATGGTACTGCACTAGGTGTTGGATTGGGTTGTCTTTGATATGCCAATCAGTGAGATCCTTAGCGGGAGTAAAAATCTGGGTATGTTGGGGTAGTCTGAGAATTCACCTGAGTGGGTGATCATAGTGACAAAATCAACCCCTTTGTCGGACAAAGTGAATGACCGGGGAACAGCACTCTCTCTTATGGAAACCTAAACTGCCGACAGTTGATTTCAAACGTGTTTGAAATTTGTTTTGCAAAATATATTTATATATATATATATATTATGTTTTTATGAAAAATGATTGCAAAGGTTTTAATTCCCGAGATCCATCCTGAGTAGAGTGCAACACTGTACCTTGCAGCCAAGGGAGAGGTCCTCTCTTGTCGGGTAGTGTTTGATCATTATGGGCTGAGAGGTTAAGTGTAAGACCATTTAGGGTTATACCTGATGGGCTAATCTCACTTAAGTCCATAGTCCTTGGGCCTTCATAAGGTGGCTGGACCCAGGGACCATTTAGTGTAAATGTTGGGCTTGCTAAGAGCCCATACTGATGGGCTCAGGGGTTCACTGTCTTCAGTAGTGAATTCGGCCATGCCTTATAACAGAGGCTAGGCTGAACCCATATGGCTTTTGTGGAGATCAATGTTAGGGTCCCATGCCATACAAAGAGAGCCAAGTCAGCCAGCAAATTAAAAGGGAAGTGAGCCGGATAACTTAATGGGCCTAAAGCCCAATTCAAACTGGGTTAATTTGATTAATTAATTATTGGTGAATTTGAGATTAGATATGGATCTGGATCAGCAAAAGGATAAGATAAGTCTTATCCACTTAAGAGTTCAGATCCAAATAAAGATTTGAATCAAAAAAAAACCCTTTCCTGATAGGATTAGGAAGCTGATCCAGAATGGTTATAAATAGAGGGTGAATTCCTTCTGTTAAACACTTTAATGTGCTTAGTTCGGTCATGTTGGACTGGGTTATGGGCAATGTTAATTGCTGCTTGGTTATCACAGTATAACATCATAGGTTCTTCTTCTTGTACACCAATTTCTTCTAATAGGGAACGGATCTAGAGAAGTTCTGAAACTCCATGTGCCATGACCCTGTATTCAGCTTCAGCACTTGATCTTGCCACCACTGTTTGTTTCTTACTCTTCCACGAAACAATGTTACCCCCAACAAGGGTGCACACTCCTGAAGTTGATCTCCTGACATCAAGGCATCCTGCCCAATCTGCATCTGTATAAGCCTCTAGTTTCAACTGTCCATGATCAGTAAACAATATGCCCCTGCCCGGGTGTCCCTTCAGATAAGCAAGAATCCTGTCAACTGTCTCCCAATGCTGGACTCATGGAGCATGCATGTATTAACTTACCACACTTACTGCATAAGAAATGTCTGGTCTTGTCATACACAAGTATAGCAGCTGACCCACAAGTCTCGGATATCTCCCAATGTCCTTTACTAGTTCACCTTCTGATGCATTGATTCTATGGTTCTGACCAATAGGGGTATTGATTGCCTTCGTTCCAAGCTTCCATGTCTCTTGAAGAAGATCCAAGACATACTTCCTTTGAGAGATAAAAATTCCATGTTTTGATCTTGCAACTTCAATGCCTAGGAAGTATCTCAGTTCTCCAAGATCCTTAATTTTAAATTCTTTATGTAGATTCCTTTTCAGACAATCAATCTCACTTAGGTCATTCCCCGTGAC